ACATTTTTAAAATATTTCATACAAAAATTTCTAAAAATTTTCATTAAATTTGAATAAATTATTTTATAAAATATATCATAGTAAAATTAATACTTTCTTAGCTTTGCATCAAGGCTAAAAACAAAAAAAAATCAATTAACATAAAAATGAAATTTCAAAATCAACATACAAATTCATCACATAAATTATACAATAATTAAACAATTAATAAATTAAAGTATAATAAAAATTCTTTCAAATAATCTAAAATATGTAAATGTACTTCATTAATGTAATAGTATATCAAGTATCCTATGTTTTCTCGGTTTTGATAAAATATTTTTGTTTAAAAATTTTAAAGAACTAAATATTCTCAGTCTTATTTAAAGGTTTTTTAAAAACTCATAATTAAAGTTTGGACATTGATGCTTAAAGGGAATATTACTTATTAAATCTCTTATTTCTTTTCCTACATTATTGTTTACAGCAATTATTGGAAATTCTTCCATAAAAATATTAAAAATTCACTAATTTAATTTACAAATACATCGGATGGAGTATTTAAGTTTCCATAAGTGGATAAATTTTCATAATGGTAAGCCTTAAAATATGTAAAAAAAAAAGATTCATCTAACTGATTTTGAGATTTAGAATAACTAATACATATACCACAATTATGTTTTTCTAGTGATTTCTTAATTAGATAGTCACATACATAAGTAAGGACATTTATAGCAGGAAAACTTAAATCATGGTAATCAACCATACCAACTTTAAAATTTTCAAAATTATAAAAGTTTTCTCAGGATTAAATCCAATAAGACTCTTTAATGAAGGAGCAGAATTACTTAAATTAGTTAAAATTTCATCTATGTCATTCAGAAAATTTAAGCCCTCAGACTGTTTGAACAAATTTTCTGCGTTAGAAAACATATTAGGTTTGACATTAACATTACAAACCATATAATACTTATTCAATTTATCAATTAATTTGTCTAACAAATCATTTCTGTTGCAATTTTAGTAATTATTTTTTATAACTATTGAATAAATTTAAGATTTTTTAAGATACAAATGTTATTTTTATTAATTTATAATAAAAAAAAACTAACTGAGGAAAATCCTTTGGTATTTTAAACATTTTACAATCACCATTTTTGAAAACAATTCTTGAGTTAATGCAATTTTTTACAATGCAAACATAAACCATTCTATTAATTATTGTATAAAAGATGGAAAATTAATACCTTAAAATGATTAAAAAGTAAAATTCTTATAATATATATTTTCACTCAACCGGTATTAGTTGTTATCATGACAACAAAATGATAATACCAATACCTATAATAAAATGGCTGCTACTTTTTGTTTACATATCGAAGTGTCCATAGCCTGGTTTAACTTTGATATAAAATCAGCCTAGTCATTTTATGCATCATTAAAGGTACTACTTACGATATATATGAAAGGTATCAGTATGGCTATAATATTAAAGTATGGTAAACCTAATTTTTTAAATTTTTACTTGCAACTTCACAAAGATAAAGATCTCATCGATGACGCAGAAAATGTGGTGGAAGAATATGTTGAGAAAATGTTTGAAGATTGAAAACTGATTGAAAACATAAAAATGTTTAAATTTTCGTAAAAAAAATTGTTTGATTCAAAAACTACATTAATATGTTGTTAAATATTTTGTTTATCCGATGGGAACCCCTATTTCTAGTTTAAAGATATGATGGAATACAAAATTTCAAATAATTTTTTCTTATAATACTTTTTATTCGATGTATCATTCTTCGATTTTTGCTTATTAAAACTTCTTATTTATGATTAATTTTCTATAAATAATTTTCTGTTTAGAATACAGTAGTTATTATTTCATCATGATATCACATAAACAAATTTTTATTGACGTTATTTGTTATCACAACTGTTACTTACAATAAAATAATCTAATAATGATTCGTGGCCCAATAATTTAAATATTTTAAATAATTTGAAAAACAGATTATTTGTTGCTTTCAGTGTTATAAACCAAAATTAATGACGGATTTCTATTTTAAATCCAAATCTTTAAACAATTTTATAACAAAAATGGTTGATTTTATATTTTTCATATTATTTATTATATTATTTTTATATCATAATCAATAACACAGACTAGATTGTAAACATTGGTTATAACAATGTAATGTATTTTATTTTCCTCTATAATTGCCTCGATTACAATTAATCGATAAAGGTTTTAAGGACAAATTGAAATTTTTAATACATGTGATATAAGCTAGGCGTTATTGTACAAAATTAATTTTGTTAATTAGTACGCTCGATCTATGGAGAAATTATCAAAATTTCTTTGTTACTGTGTACAAATTTTTTATTCTATATTAAATTTTACACCTAATCTCTCATAAAAATTAGCGTGAAAACATTCTCTTGACTTTCTTAGTTAGTTCAATAATAGTTTTTATATTTTTTATCTGTACTTTATTTTCAAAACTAAGTAACTTTAAAGAGTGATATAATATATTGTACTAAAAATATAGTAAAGATTTTAAATAAAATAAAATAATTTTTTTTATTGTTTACAAATTTTAGCTCATAAATTTGGGTTCGTATAGTTTTAATTTAATTTAATACTAGATAAAAATGATCATTTATGTTAGATTTATTATAGTAATGACATAAGAAAATTATATATTGATCCGATCGTAATAAAACCATAATTTTTTCTTAATATACAAACAATATTCTATGAGATTCTTTAATATTTATTTATTATTAAAACATAATGAAAGTGTTTTATAATATTATAATCATCAGATTATTGATGTATCCTTCAGAGAAAAAATATTCTCATCTAATGTCATAAAAATGATTAAATATTATTCTATACTTATTAAGTTAATTTTAACCACTTTACATATACACACAATGTATTCGTATTTAGTTAGGTGTCCCATATTTAAAAATTAATTTCACAAACTCAAGAAATAATAACTGAATTTTTGCATAAAATATGAAAGAGAAACATAAATTTTCAAAATTACGAGACTCGATCTAATTATTTTTGTGATATTTTTACATAATTAATTAATATTAATTGTTGTAAGAATTATTAATTAACTAGAAAAAAATTGTCAAATTTGTCATCCTGCCACAGATTTAGATCAAAGTTGACATATCTTAGCATAATTTTGGTAAAGTTTAAAAAATTACATTATATATGCATTTTCTAATAAAGTCGAAGTCACCCTCCTTAAATAGTGTGTTCAGTAAGTCAGTAACGGATTTTTATTGTTCTCATTGTTTGTAACAATGGACCTGTTCCCTTACTTTTTGACATTTGTATATATTTTCTTCAGTTATTAAAATAAAATAGTATAATCTAGTTTTTTTCAAAAATAAGGACTTATTGTACCACTACTAGTTTTACACTAGTTGACTTAATTCAACTTAATTAGATACGAATAGCAGATGTTCCATGTTTAATCTTCATTAACGGGAAAAAGTTGTTAGACTAATTAAATAGTTATACTTAGTAGTTTTGATATTTCGATGCTCTTGGTCAATATTCTGCGTCAGTACAAGTAAATATTTTTTCTTAACGACTTAATTTTTTTCCCACACTACTAATATCATTTTAAATATTATATTGCCCTTCATTTCTGGACAGTCTTAAATGTGCTGAAAGGAGTGAAGAGGTGTAATTTTATTTATTCAGGTATAATATTATACATAATCGTATATTCATAATAAAACTTATTGTGCACTTCAGTTATGAACAGCCTTCAATCTGCCGAATAAAGTGAAGAAGCGGTATATTGTGATTAGAATTAATTATTAGTATTACCAGGCATATGTATTCACTAGCCTGAAAGGACTATGCTAGTTACCTTCCAGTAACGTGCAGGCAGTTGAGGAAAACAGTAGTACTAAATTTATAAAAGAATATTTTGGAAATGCACTGTATAAATTGACAAGCCAGTTTTAGAGCTAGTTGTAAAATTGTAATAACTTTACTCAGTGTAAAAATACCAAATAAATAAAAAAAAAAAGTGGGAGCTAAACTATATGTGAAATTGATGTTAAGTTCGATATCAATTAAATATTTAATTAAATATTGTTTTGGGTTGGTTCGTGTTCGACTGAAAAATTTAAAGTTTAGTTTGTCTCCAAAAATCAGGGTTTGTTGCGTCACTAAAAATATAATTAATTTAATAAAATTACAGACATAAAATATGAATAATGAATTTGATCATTTTTTTAAACATTAAAAAACTATTATTACTATATGGCTTGATAAATAATATTTTTTTAATTTTGCAAATAATAATAATTGGAGTAACTAACTAGATATAAAAGTGTGAATTGTATAATTTTGATTATATTATATAGATGCACACTGATTTAATATTCTTAAATTAACGTGTTACAGTACACGAACATTTGTATTAAAGCCTTTACGTGACAATAATTTCTAAGTAAGACTTAAGAAAACGATAAAACTAATATCTTTAATTTTAGCCGTTTTTTTCCTTTGAACACTTTATAAAAATAATATCATATTATTAAAATAATGGAATGGATAGCTGACTACAGTCAAGTGCCATCACACGCTTTATTGGTATACGATCGAAAACTAGAAATTAAAAAAATTAGCCTTAAATTAACAGGAATTACGAAACTTTAATATAATAGTTATCAACGTCTTTTTGATCATTTTCTCTTTAGCCTTTGATAAATATTTATTTAGGTTTTCAAATTTTTATTTTTTAATGGACATAAAATGTTACCATAATTAATTATTGGTAATAAAAGCATATACTATTTAATTGGACTGAAATATAAACTATCACAGAAAAACATGTTTAATAAAGATTTTATTCATAGAATAAAAAAAAAATTAACTATGATATATTAAAATAAATAGTAAAACATATTTTTAGAATTAAATTTTTTGTTTGTATTATAAGTCTATACTTATTGGGCTTCGAGAATTATTCATTTACAAACGACTTTGTTGTGATGATTAAATAATTATACACATTTAAGTAGTAATATTTTACAAAAGAGAAAATTACAATGTACTTCAAAACTCAATTTATTACTTTTATTATTGTATGGAGCCATTTTGAATCCCAATTTGTCAATGCAGGAATCGCTGCGGTAAAAATATAATCGATATTGTAAAATGTCATCTTAGTCTTTTAGTGCATTATATCTTAATGAATAAAAATATTAATAAATGTATTGTACTATTTATTATTAACTTTAATTTTAAAATTAATGTCAAAGTATGTCGTGAATGCAATAATATTTAATTAAAAAATAAGAATAATAACTTTAATATATTTAATTCTCTAGTTTTGTTGTATGTAATACATAAAATGTATATATTCAGCTAACTACCATTTTTTATTTTAGTCTCGGAAGGAGTATGAGGATTATAAACTGATGGTAAGAATTTTACACATAACTAAAAATTGACATTTTGTAGAAATTAATTTTAATTTTTTACCCACACTCGAGAAAAATAATCATTATTATATAACACAAGTTATAATAAAACATTAAAGATATTATACTATATTATTAGAAATATATTTCTATGTTCTATAAAATTTTATTTCAATCGTTACTTTCGAATTAATTTAAAAATTTCCTTCGTAAATATTCAATAACATTATTGTCTCTATATTTACATAAAATGTTTATATTTTTTGAGGTTAACCTGTTAAATGAAATTAATTGAATACAAAATTGTATATGATATTAATCACTCGTGTGGCATTTCTATATCGCTACGCATACTTAAAGAACCTTAATAGAACCTCTCAGTCTTTCTTCCCATTTTACCATAGTCGGTAATGCCACCGACATCCCTGTGTGTGTGTATAATTTTTTATATACTATGACAAATTTTATATTTTCATGTAATTATTTTATGCTATTCTAATTATACAAACTATAATAATATTATAATACTAAAATATATAAACCAATAATTTATAGGTAATCACATTCAATCATTAACAAAATCATTAATAAAGATAATGATAGAGGACCAAACAAAATTATACACTCACACGCAGGAATGACGGTGGCATTTCATGCTATTTCTGTAAACTGTTTTTTTACCTATTGTAATCAGTAACAGCGGCTTCTGCGTATACATAAGCACTAGAGTCGGTATATATTCGTCGAGTAAGCTTTTACGTATAGGGGTGCAGCACATCAAATGTGTAGTCGACACGTACCATACGTACATTTAATGGTTTGCGAGTACCTCTCTACAAAAATTAATTTTTTTTTTGAATAATAATTGATTTATTATTTGCAATTGCTCAATCAATCAATAGGCGTAGAAATCAGCGCATGCGCGGTAAGTTGTGTTAGTTTATGTTTCATTTTTGATTCAAAAATTTCTCTCTAACACTTCCAATTTTAAAAAGGATTAAAATTTCAGTTACTTTTTATTCGTGATATATTCTTTTTAGTTATCATAATAAAAAATAAAATTTATTTTTAGTTCAAAATTCATTATTAGTTCATTCTCAAGTTAAAACCTTATGCCGTTAAACAATATTACCTTGTTCTTGCAAAAAATATATTGATTGAAAACAAACATGTGTTAATATAAATTATTTTTGAAAAGTTTGTCATTGTTTGGTTAATACGTTTAAAAGTTTCCCATAAAATGTTGGCAAACATTTCTGTATTTTAATTCAAGATTATTATGCCTCTAGCTCCAATTTGAATGTTCTTTAATACATTTTACTTAATCTAATTAGGGTGATAAAATTAAGTAACATCACCTTATACATATTATATTTTGAAATGATTTTATTTATCATAAGTAGGGTCCGAAATTATAAGAATTTATAAATTTTGTTAAGTTATTCCGACACACACCATCAGCCAATACAAATATTTAATTGACTTGAAAATTTAGTAATGTGTTGTTTCCAGGTTATATTATTGGAGTTGATTATGGGGGTTTTATCCCCTTAAAATTAAAAATATTTCTACGTTATTATATTATACTACGACAAAGTTGCACAATTTTGGAACCCTCCAATGTGACTCAAACAAAATGTATAAGTGCATTTCATTCCTAGCCCTAATCATCATTTTATGTTTAGCTAATACACAATATCAACGCTATCGCATGTATATGTGTTTAGTATTTTTTGTGGTATTGAGTCAAATATTTTAAATTTTTTTAATATAAATTAATATTTAAAAAATATTGTTAGTTAAAATGATTTTATTTATTAATAGATGCGTTCTCAAATGTGTGAAATAGTATGTATTATTATAAATAAATTATTAATTATTTAATTAAAAAATATACATCAATGTTTACAACTTTTCTGTTTAACTAAATATTAAATTGTCCATTGTTCTCAAAAAAATTTATCCGTGTAATTTAGCAAACAATAGTATAAGTTTTATTATTTATAATTTATAGCATAAAATTAAGATTGTATTGTTTTATTCTAATTTCATTATTAATGTTTATTAAAAAATAATAATGAAAACAACAAACAATAATAGAAATTTAAATTCACTATATAATGTGATTTATTAAAAATAATTCTCCCAGTTTTTTTTATTAATTAATGATTCAATAATAAATTTAAATAATAATTTTTGTGAGATCTGATAGGTAAATAAAAAATTTAATGAAAAAATTCAACACAGGGGTTCGCGGCACAGTGGTGACGTGGCATAGTTGGATCAAGTATAATGATATCTGACAGTGATTAAAATCACTATAAAAAAAAAGCTTCGATGCAAATCTGTAAATAGTGTTTAATTTTAAAAAATTGATGGATTATTTCAAAAGCTATATGATCTGCTATTTCCATATTAATATCCTGATTAAGATAAAGTATGTCGAATGAAAAAGGGATTATTAAAAAATATTATTTCTCATAAAAAAATTGTGTTGATCCATACACTTTTCAATAAGTAATAGCATTATAAAGTTAATAAATATAGTTTAAAAAAACTGAAAAACACGTTATTAAAGCATATTGAACTAAAAAGTTCAAAATAATTTTAAAAATAAGCTTAAAACAATAATGAACGAATAATATTAATATTATTGTGAAAAAAACGTCGGGTGTTCAATTTACGAAAAATATGGCAAAAAGCCCCCACGCTTTTATCACAATAATACTAGTATTTTTCGTTCATTATTGTTTTAAGCTTATTTTAAAAATTATTTTTTAACTTTTTATTTCTATGTGCTTAAAAGCGTGTTTTTTATTTTTTTTTAACTATATTTATTTTTCACTTTTTAGTTTCATGTTATGATAGTAGTTACTATCAATATCATGGTTGTAACGGGTAACGGGAAATCAGGGTTCGATTCCGGAGAGGGAGTCCGAGAAACGGCTACCACATCCAAGGAAAGCAGCAGGCGCGTAAGTTACCCACTCCCGGAACATGGAGGTAGTGACGAAAAATGACGATACGGGAATCATCCCCCGTATTCGGAATGAGTACACTTTATATCTATTAATGAGAATAAAGCATGTTAATATATAAATTTTAATAGTAATTAGAGTATAATATATTATACAGGGTGTTCAGTAAGTCAGGAAACGGGTTTCTATTGTTCTCATTGTTACAAACAATGAGAACAATAGAAACCCGTTTCCTGACTTACTGAACACCCTGTATATATATACACGTAAAGAGACTTAAATACGTAAACGTATCATGCACGAGGTTTAGCTGTGTTTTGTAGGTGGGCGGGCGCGGAGGAACGTTGTACGAGAGGCATATGCGGCGGCTGTAGGAATATATATATTTATAAACATACATACATACATACATACATATAAATAGTAAAGAGATATAAGTACGTAAACGTATCATGCACTAGGTATAGCCTTGTTTTATGGGCGGGGGGAACGTTGTACCTAAGGTATAAACGGCGGCAGCGGCGGTAGGAATATATTACAGGGTGTTCAGTAAGTCAGGAAACGGGTATCTATTGTTCTCATTGTTACAAACAACGAGAACAATAGAAACCCGTTTCCTGACTTACTGAACACCCTGTATACGTAAGGCACATTACACGATGGCGGTATTGGACAGTCAAAATAAAAGTTTGTTTATTTATATATATAATAAAAGTGGTAACAGACACAAAAAAAAAAAAACATTTTTAAAGATATTTTACATTTAAGGTAACATCAAAAATGAAATGGGAACCAATATTTAATATTATAATATGATAAAAATCAAAACATCACAATGATATCCTCCAAAATTGAAAAAATTTCCCTCGTTCCCTTGGGGTAAACCCCCAAAAATATTACAAATATAAAAATCACTAATTTTTCAATTTTTTTTTTTTAAAACTATCATCACTAAGGTCTAACAATTTTATGTATATCTTAAATTAAAGCTAATGTAATATACTTTATTATGGAAAAAAAAAATTCGGACTTTATTTCGTCTTCACGATGAATACAGAGTTTCAAAGTTAATAAAAAAATTACGATTTTTGTAAAAATATTCTTTTTTATATTTTTAACTTTATAATACTATAACTTATTAAAAAGTGTATGGATCAACACATTTTTTTATGAAAAATTATATTTATATACTTCTTTTATTCGACATACTTTTTTTTAAAATCAGACCATTTCTCTTAATACAAGAGGAGTTTAAACCTTTAAAATGCCTGTAGAAAGTAGAACTTTTTCAACTTAATTTTTGAAAGTTTTCCGGAAATGCTGACACTACTACATATATCTTAAATTAAAGCTTATGTATTAAACTTTATTATGGAAAAAAAAATGTCGGACTTTATTTTGTCTTCTTGGTGAAAATGGCTATCGAATGCTATTTTTGTGTGAAAATTCTCGATTTTATATTTTACATTTTTTAATTTAAAATACTATAACTTTTTGTAAAGTATATGGATCAATACAATTCAAGAGTTTTTTATGATAGTGATTTTAATCACTGTCAGATATCATTATACTTCACCCAACTATACCACGTCACTACTGTGTCACGACCCCCCTGTGCTGGTTTTATTTTTTGACCATCAATTGGATTATTAGCAAAAAAATTCTATAATATATTTAAAAATGTAAAAAATATTAAATACCCTCCTGTAACAATTTCTGAATGTGCCTAAGGGGAATACCTCATTAAAAAACGTCAACCTTATACTCAATACATTTTACTATATTTTCTTTTTGAATTTTCCTGATTATAATAATAACATTTTTAATATATTTTCGTTACACTGATACTGATTTTATATTTTTACTGCAAAAGATTTATCGTGCCCGGCGTATTTGAGTACTCCTACCGTATTTAGTGGCCTTTTTATGATGACGGCCCGAAGAGGCTTACGCGCCGAAGACGCGTAAGGCTCGCAGGGCCCTGAATCTGGGGTAGAGTTCCATAGGAGCCTAGTATTTAATAATTTAGTATTGTAATTTTTTCGGAAAATTTATACAAATTTATAAAGTAGTTGTTAATTTATGGCAAACATGTATAAATATTGAAGGACTTGATACAAAACTTATCAGATGATAATTTGTGGTTAATTATGAATAAATGGTCTACAAAGAGTTTTCATCAGAGTCAAAAATATACTTTTCTTTACCAATTTACGTGCTGATTTCAAATCTGCAAGTAGATTTTTTGATATTATTAATAATTAGATCAAAACTATTATTGATATATAAAAAAAAAAAAAACAATAAAATATAGGTTAAAATGAAAATCAACCACACAACAGTAAACGAAATCATAGGTAAAACTAGGCATGGGATATTTCTGAATATCAGTATATTATAGAATACTATAGGGTATAACTATACGGAACATAGTTCTACATAGTTTAAATAAAATTAAAACTATATTAAAAATATTATTAATTAAAAAAACTAAAAAATATTTTAAGTGATTTTAATGAAATTTTGCGTTTTCTTCATAAATTTACTGTTAATAGTAATTATATAAGTTCCTGATCACATATCAATTAAAGAAATATAATTTTTAATTCCTCATAAAATTTTCTATTTAATTATATAAATTTTAAACTTGCAAGTTGAGCTAAAATTGTGTTTAAAAGTTCAACATTTTTAAATTATATACATTCATAAAAATCAACTTTAAAGGATCAAAAAAATTAGTTAAAAATGTCATTTTTAATTGAAAATTTGTACGAATTATTTTTAAAAACTAATAATTATATGATAAAAAAATTTTAATTAAAGCGAGTCTTGCTGTCTAATTAGTATTAATCTCAAAAATGAGATGATAGAAAAAATCTAATTTCAGACTTGAAATCAAATTGAAATATTTGGTTTAGTATAGTATGTATTGGTCTATAATCATTACAATATATTTCATTTTAGCGATATGATTTTACTGTATAATTTACTATAAAAAAAAATTTCATTCTACTATTAATTTGGATATATTTAATTTAGTCAAGTTTTTTTAAGTAGCCATTTTTTACAGTAGCAAAATTTTAAGATATTTGTCTAAATTGCTAAAATAAAGAATTTTTTTCCAATATTTGATTATTAAAAGTTAACATAATTAAAATCGTGTTCTTTTGACGTATTGGTCAAGTGAGAGCTGAAAAAAATTAATGACAGACACAAAAACTGTATAGTAAAATATTTTTATATGAATAAGAGATTTCTTCACACGAAGGGAGACTACAGTGATGGGGTCCTTGATATTCATTAAAGTAAAACAAATTAGATAAACATCAAATAAGTTAAAACATTTTTCCAATTCAAAAAGGTATTTAAAATAAAATAAAATACAAATCCGAGAATTATAACATAAAAATAGCATATTTTTGAATATGGTATCTGTTTTCACTATGAAGGCAAAATAAAGTTAGAAATTTGTTTCTTTCATTATAAAGTATACTACATAAGCTTTAATTTAAGATATATATAAAAATTTCATTATTTCTGGAACACTTTCAAAAATTAAGTTGAAAACATTAATTTTTTTATAAAAGAGCTGTCTTTTTAAATCCCCCCCTGTGGACAAGTAAAGGGCAGATTTACAAAAAAAACTATACAAAATTATATGTAAATACCTTATGTATCTTTAAAAAACAAAATGTATAGATTTGGTCATTAAGTTATGGCAGTTTTAAGTAAAAGAAATTTTAAAAAATAATGAAAATTATCGATTTTTAAATTTATAATTTTTGGGGGGATTTCCGTTATTTACGGGTAACGAGGGAATTTTTTTTCAATTTTTGAAGGTATTTTCTTTGACTAGATACAATTTGTGAT